TTCTATTTTTTTATATATAAGTATACATTACTATAATTTAATGTTATTTTATTAGAATTTGTTTAAAATTTTTATATAAATCCTCTTGATGTAGACAAGTTTAATCGACCTGTATTTTCAAGAAAAAAAATGTACCAATCGATTACATCTCCTCTTTATATACCACACGTTTGATTTATTATATTATATATAAGAAATATCGGTCCCTTTTTCTTCCGTATTCTCATAAATATTTCTTACAAGAAAATTTTATATATGTGTAAATTATAACTTTTATAGTAGCTCATATCTTTACGTTTTGCCTCTAATTTGAAATACAGCCGCATTATGTATTAAGACAAATAACTCTACCTGAATAGTGATCAGAGTTTTTTTATGTATATCTTTTATTTCTCAGAAGAAAAATGTTATATACCGACAGTTTTATAGACCGACGTTTTATAAATAGGTATGTTTATTGTACATATGTATATGTAATGGAGAGAAGAAATATGAGATACGATATTATATTCTTAACCTTCATAATTAAATGTTAAATATGTTTAATTTTATGGCATGCATTAAATTGTATACTGTAAATTTTTTCTATGTTGTACATACACAGTTTTCTATGAATGGAATTTATTATTCATTTGTATATTTATTACGCATACAAAATATTTAGTAAATTTGTCTGATAAAAATCAAGAATATTCTTCGGTATATCTGTCTCACATCTCTACACAATTTGTTTTATATTATGATATTCATAGTTTTATATTATGTAGATCACACACACATACACACACACACACACTACACTTGGTGACAGTTTGTGTTGAACTATCACTTGAGGCGATCTTATCACACATAAAAAAACCGCGTTTGTCTACGATATACTCTATAATAATATGGATCAGCTGACAGCTGACTTACAGTAAATAAAGGGAGAAAAACCGATCGATCGATCGTGTGCTTCCTCTTCAGCGTGCGACCTCAAGTGGAGTAGCTTGATCTCGAGTTGCCGTGTACAAAAAGCGGTTTGTATCCACCTTCGCTACGTCAATAAATATTTACCTTGTTTTCACCCACCACCATTTGCGGTAATCGCGAGTGCAAGGATCGCACGTAGATCGATGAATAGAACTACGTCACAAACGAAACCAACTCGTCCTCATTTGACCAACCAAGCGATACATATTTACGGGCTTTTCCACCTTGATTTTACGACGCCATTGTACTTTGTAATATTCGTAACGTGGACACGGTGTACGGATTCATCTCGCGGATGTATAATTTTCATCGATACATATTTATCGTACGTTCCACACACTCAGATAAATTGCAATAATAATAGGATTACCGAAGTTACGCTCTAAACTATAAAATAATAGCTACATGATTTCCCTATTGTTTATTGTGATATTTATATGCGTTTCCTACTATATAAATCATTATGATTTATTTATGTGTGCTTCTCTAAAAAATTTATCCATCAAAATTAATTTATAAGGAAACTTTGATTTTATTGATTTTAAGGCAATTCGAATTCTATTGATGTTAAAACTTAAAGATATTAAAACCAGCATACTATATATATTTTGTTTTTCAGGGTTGAAATTCTTTATTTAAAAGCTAAAATAAAAATTTATACCCACAAAAATATCTATTTTGATAAAGATTGCTCTCTATTTCACTGTCGGTTTTGATATGTATATATGTGCATATTACAATTTTGATGTTACTTTAACTTTTTTCAGCAAAATGCCTTTCTTCAATGATCAAAAACTAACATATTTGTTGAAGAACTACAAAATACGTAAAGGGAAAAATATGAAAAGTAATGCAAATAAAATGTGCAAATTATCAAATTTACACTTTAAAATTATTAAGTTTTTAGAAATAAAATCACATTTTCTTTCTCATTTATAAAAATAAATATTTTTAGAAACATTCCTTTTATTTAATACATTTTTTTTTTATTATAATACTGCTTTAAAACTTTTTTTATTTTGTAAAATAAACAATAGTTAGTTTATTAAATCCTGCTTTTTTTACGAAAAAATTAACTGGCACATTTGATTCAATTTAAATCGTGGCACTCCTTTAATGTAAGATTTTTTGACATTGTATAAAAAGAATAGACAAATATTAACATTAATCGTTAAAAATAGTAAAGTTTAGAAAAATATTTAAGATAGCACAGTTATATTGCAATAATATATTTATTTCGAGAACATAATTATGCAATGTGCATAACAAACATTTTTCTTTTTTTTCAATTTGTACAGAGATATGTCATAAAATAAATTTTACGTCCCTGATAAAAACGAGAGAGAAAATTATGAAAAATTAAATTATAAAAAAGAAAATGTAAAAAATAAATATCTTTGACACTGACATGAGAAGAAATTTCGAGTAATAAATGTACGTAACTATGTGGATATATATCCATATTGCTTTGCCCTAATTTCTACTTTTGTACAATTTTTAATTGGGTTGCTGGTAACATTTTATATCAATTAGACAGTCTCATTTATTTTACATACATGATAAAGAGGATAAAATTATTATAATATAATATATTATTATAATACATTGTATATATATTTTTATTTGAAACATTATATAAAATATAGTGTTTCAAGTGTGACATTTCTTTGAATAGGAGACAAGTGTGACGTTTCAAGATCAAAGATATTAAAATCGTTTTTTATATAGTAATGATCTCTTTTCTACAAATTTGTGTGCAATCTCCTGTATTATTACATTCAACAGAACTTTCTCTAGAAAAAGTTATATATATATATATATATATATATATATATACATATACATATACAACATATGTATGTATAGCAAAATCTGTAAAATAAATGAAACTGTCCAATTGATATGAAATATTACCAGTAACCTAATTAGAAATCGTACAAAAGTAGAAATTAGGGCATTACATACATATACAATATATGTATGTATGCATGTATATATATCTATGTATGTATATATATGTATTGTAACATGTTAATATAATATATGCCAGTCTGATATGTCACAATATCAAACCAATTATAGTTTATTTTATGGAACAAGAAGTTTTTTTGTGTATGTATACTTTTCTGTATTTATATATTACAACATATTTTCTTAAATTATATTTAAAAATTTTAAATTCTCAGATATACTAAATAGTTCTTTATTTTACGATGTATGTTAATAAATCTGAGCATCTAATTTATTAAAAAGAATTAACAATTAATTTAATTTACAACAGGAATATCAAATAAACATATGTTCTAATATATAGAAACAGTTTTGATACATTAATATGAATTATATTTCACAGAGAATTCAAATACGCGGAAAAATATGCAATTTAATTTTGAGTTACGTAAATTGTAATTAATAAATTCATAATACAAATTGCTTCTTTATATGAAGTAATTAAATAATAGATTTTTAAGAAACAGTTAAATAAAGTAGAATCATTGCATGTAAAAAACAATTATAAAAAATAAGAAATATCTTTGAGAGATAATCGGCGAAGCTTCAGCTGTGAATTCTCATTAAACAACATTGAAATAAGTTCTGGCGTCAGTTATTTCTGAGTCAGAAGTGACGAGAGCACACTGGAAGTTGTTGCATTTAATCAGTTTTGCGGAAGATGTTATCCAATCGTCTGTTGCCGCCGCATCGACGTGGATAAGCAACCAAAGCAGCCAAGCAGCCCGTCCTTACAGTTGCTAAAGTTCAGAAACTCTCGGAATGTTGGCATGCGAACAACCGTATCTACTTTCGCGAGATACTCATCTTGCTAAGAAACCAGACATGATAGTGCCAGTGTACGAAGTGCAAAAACTTGCAAAGGAAAACGAATTGCTCCGAGACTGAAAACTCAAAAAATTCCAGTTTTGCTTTTATTTCTTATAGCTTTTTTTAATGCTTTATGACTTATTGATATTGACAGGAATCATAATACAGAGTGGTACCACGAGCTTTACTCTCTTTCGGCTACAAATTTTTTAACGCATTTGCAATTAATCTTTATAACACAACAATTTCAGCAAATTTGTTTTTTCAATTCTTGAATTTCATATGTTAAATATTTTGGCAATTCTTGTCTTAAATTAAAATTTTATTAAAGTATATATTTGATCAAAAGAGCTCTTAAATTATACTTTAATACCCGAAATATTTTATATTTAAAAAAAAGAAGAATTAACAAAAACGAGAATAAAATCAAAGTTTATTATTTCAAAGAAATTTGCAATGATTAACAACAAAGAAATGCACATTTTTTAACCTTTCCTCAGATCCGTAAGAATTGCATCTTGGGGAACAAAAAATGTACTAACTCAAAGGCATACTGGCGATCGAGCTGCGATAAGGTAAAGTATATTATTGAATATAAAAGGAATAAATGTCCAGAAAGAGGAAAAAAGAAAGTAATGCGCGATTATGCGATTCTGAACGTTGCTCTCGATCAAATTTCTATCTTCCATTCTCGCAAGATCATAAACTTTTCCCTTGCAAAATCGTGCGGTCTATTTTACGTTTAAATATATTAAATCTTTTATCTTGAAATCAATATAGAATAATGTAATTTCCGCGTAATTCAACAAAATAATCAGTGATGGAGTTCACGCGTAATAAACTGTGCCTCCAAACAAAATCGCGAGAACAATTGAAATATTGATCGTGAAATTCATTTAAAGATTGTATCGGTTTTTTTTTTTTTATATCAAACTAACATATCAAACTACTGTAACTTGATAAAATATGTATAATATGTAAAATGTGTATTTTTATAAAATACAAAACTGAGTTTCTTTTGAATGAGAATTCATCGTAAAAGAATTAGCAATTTACAAAACAGATATTCGTTATCAATCTCCCTTGCTAATTTTCGAATTTAAAATTTTAATCGTTTCAAATTTAACAGTTAGTTATTGCACAGCACAGAACATTGCAGTAAATAACTGCTACTGTTTAACTATTATATCAAAGAAATGGCGACTTACCTGATTCATGTACGATCTGACGAACTCCATGCTTTGATCCAGAGCATATGTATCGCTGCTACAGGAATCAAGGATAAGAGCACCTAGCGTTGTGTTTGGCAGGAGTTCTCTATCAGCGTTAATCTGATCCAGAATATACAGCATAGCTTCCAATCGTTGCATACCCTTCTCTTCTTTTACGGCCCCGCATGGTGATGCGCCGATGGAACTTGAGATCTGAACAAATAAATATGTATGTGTATTTTATTTACAGAACCTTTATTCCTCTTCATACTTTTAGAATTACGCATTTTTTATTCATTCATATTTCATATTCATTTATAACACAATGTCTTGTATTATAATATAAGAATAACTTTTTTCGATAACAAAGAAATTTCAACTTAAAAAGAAATTTTTATAAATCAAATTTCTCGAATAAATTTTCTCAATTTGATCAAAGCTAGATAATCTAGAAATTAGAAGTTAGAGATAATTCTATTTTTCCGCTTTATTTTTCACATATTGTGTTTCAATATCGCGTAAACATGAGCGATCTAAACACAATGTCGGCACAATTCAAAGCTGCATTGTTTCCGATCGAAACAATGCAGCTCTGATATTTCAACGGCGGTAGAGCAAAAGATAAGATAGATACTCAATTTTCATGGATTAATGCCGTACTTTTCCCCAGAGCCATTCATTCCTACAATATCTGGCTACAATGGTCACGACTTGCGGGACACGAGACCGAAGGGATCAAATTACAGGGAACTTCGACCCTTCGTCGTATCCTAGAGCATTATAGTCGGATGCGCTGCTGTTGACGTCGAGAATTGAAGGAGAGAAAGAGAGAGAGAGAGAGAGTATGAGGGAAGTTATGGTACAATACTATAAATCCGCGGGTCGCTACACTGATCGTATACGAGGATTTCGTCAACCCGAAAATACACAGTCCGGCCAAACACGCTCGTAAATCCTGGCGACAACGCAATCTCGCCGCTGATTTTAATGTTTGTGAAATCAGCTGGGAACGCTGATCATTTGTTTTCGGGGTCACAGAGTTTTCCCAGAATAAAGCTTTTAATTCTAACAACCCGAAATTTGTTTTGGTCTCAAAGTTCGAATAATAGGGGATGACGAGAACCCTACTGTGTGTGCTTGACCTATAAAATTAGGTATTTAATCTATTATGTATATGTTTAAATCTCTTATTTCAATGAATTCCATGAATTTTATTTCGTTTTATTTTTAATTCCATGAATATTTTAAATTTAGAATAAAGAACCTTCACGGTAATATAAAAATGTATGTATGTATGTATAACAAGATATTATAATTTATAAACTTCATCATACAAATTTAAATTTAACGTTATTTATTTTTTCTTAAATCAGCATTATAATTCGTTATCCCGAATTAAAATATCTTATAATATGCTGTTGTACCACTATATTTGCGAAATCAGAACAATTATATACCTAAAAATATTTTTAATTAATATCAACCAGTTTATTAACATTGAGGCAACTAATATTCACATTAGAGAGAGATGTATACATAATAAATTATAATTGATTACCAAAAATATATAATAGAACAATGGTTTTTTAGAAATGTTTTTTTTTTAACTAATAATTTTCATTCATTGTTCGCAAAGGCGGATAATCAATGTTACCTTTGTCACTGAAAAAGTTGTTACATTGCTTTTCTGTTAATTTATCAGAAAAAACTAAACATCCGGGTGAGTTCAGGTCACTCGTTACTTATGAGTCACTATATCGAGCGCAAGAATAACCGATGTAAGAAGGAAAGTTATTCGTTCTATTCGCGGAAGTTCTGTGAACGACGGTTATTTTGCACGAACTAGTTGCGCGACAACAATAAATCAGCTTAAAGTTTTCGATATTATTCCATCTATAACTGAATAAAGAGGTAACATTTCACAAGAATGTTTACTTCGCATTTTGTATAGTGATCGAACTTAGTCGTATTCGAGAGGAAAAAATCGAGCTTTTCTTCGGAAAAAATAAGTGGAACATTAACACAAAAAGAATTTTCCAGATAAAATGCTATAAAATGTTAGAAAATGTGCATAAAATATTCCGTATGTATATATGTTAATATTAAAATTTTCTTTTTTCGGAAAAGTTTAAATTAAATTTTAAGTTTCACAATTGTATGAATGTCGTACATTTTTATCTGAATTGTTAATTAGATGATTAATTAGCAAGATTTATTTTATTTAAATTTGATAATTACGCATTTATTATATATTCTCAGTATTAATAACAATTTATTTTCGCAAAAATAATGCCAACCAAAAAGTTTGAAAAAGCATTTTAAAAAAAATCACAAACTGCATATTGTATACCGTAGAAATCTAGAAATCGTACAGTGCATGACTACAGAGTGTGTGTGTGTGTGTGAATAGTCTATTATTTTTTAATTGTATAAAGTAAATATTACATATTTTCTTTTTTGCACGCCAGGTACCTCGCGAGATTGCGAATAAGTCTTCGCGGGAATTCTCAATTTTTAATGAAATAAAGTTCGGATATTCTTGATACTGGAGCTTAACTTCTGCAATTTTTGCAGTGCTGCGCTCATATATTTCTCTTTATTTCTTGTTTTTTTTTTTTTTTTTGGCGAAATATTTTGCAATGATAGGACACTTGATATGGCTCTTAGATGGCGGATTATGATCTCTCTCACTATATTTCATCTGAATCGCGCGTAATATGACGTCAAAGGCGAGATCCGAGGTTGATTACGTCAAACTTTTGCGTAACACATATTAGATAATTTCGACAGTTGGCTTATTTTCCGCGCGTCAACATAATAACGTATTTCTCGCAAAGCAACAGAACGTGAATATTAAATATTTTACCGAGTTCGCGTTTATAGTATCTGAATAAACAAAAATTTGAGATGAAATTAGGTCATATGTGGCTTAATTAATAATTTTTAGTCTTCCCATTTATTTTTTTTTTGTTTTGTTTTTGAAAAAAATTTTTTTTTTTTGCAAAGAAATGTATTTTATATTTTGTTATATGATACATAATGGAATTTCAATAAACGAAAAAGCAATTTTAATTAAAACAGCAGATTTTGATATTTTATTCGTTTTTACAAATTGTGAATCAAGACAGAAATGCGAGAATGAATCTCAATATATAACTCGCGTTAATTACAAGTTTAAATGATTGCATTTATGAATATCTGCATTAGAAAATAAAGTTACTTTTAATAACTAAAGGCGTAAGTATATATCTCTATATATGTCTATAAATTGATATCTTTTCGTTCGCACTTTTCCGTCAATTGTATTAAACGGAGCTTTCGTCGCGTCATTTAATATTGATGGTAATGGTAACGAATGCTCTCTGGAATGCATTTATTTCTTCGCCATCGGCGAGGAATGCTGTATTTTTATTCAAAATATTCGTTATTTTCAAGTGGATGAGTTGCAAAGATGAGAGCGCGATTGCTGCGAGGTACTTTGAGACGAAAAAGTGTAGAAAAAGATAAAAAATACAGTTTCGTGAACACAAATACAACGCGCAGTAGAGTTGCATATTGACCCACTCCGGGCGAGTTCCGATGTAAGAAAAATTTCATACTAATTTTATACATATATATACATATATATATATATATATATATATACACATATATACACACACACACACACACACACACACACACACACAGAGGTAAACGCAACCGCTGAATGCATGAACTTTGTCTATGCAAAAGTCAGGAAGAATAATTGTTAATTAGAGAACTTGTACATTTCTTTTATTTCTTATTATTTATTTCTTATTATTTATTCGTAATGTCTTCATTATATTAAGACTTGATTACACTGTAAAAAAATATGAATTTCATGAACAGCAAGTGTAAAATTATACAATAAATAATAAAAATATATAACATTTCCATTATTTATTGCGTAATTTTATACTTATTGTTTTTATACAACTTTACATACTCTTTCTACAATGTATATCTTAATAACAATTGCTCAAAAAGTCTAATCATAAAATATTTAATGTCGAGAATAAAGTGCTAATTGGGGCAAATTACATATGTAAATGGTTAAAAAAGCTTATTTTTTATTTAATTTTACATTTGATTTAAGTTCTATTACTAGCCAAATAATAAAATATTTAATTTCAAAAATTTACGAAGATATTGTAAATCTCTCTTTCTCTCTCTCTCTCTTTCTCTCTCTCTCTCTCTCTAAGCTTTTGCTAAGAAAGATTCCAATTTCGAAATTAACGAGAAATCTGTCGCTAACAAGAAATATGCAAGCACTGATACATCTTGTGTAAAGAAGCTTACCAATCAATTTCATATGGCAAAGATGTTCCACTATTTCCCTGTTTCTTCAGTAATGCACCTTGTTTGCATAACAGTAATTCAGTAAAAAAAGCTTTTCGTTAACAAAAATGTTTTAGAAATAGTATGTTTCACATCTTTGATTTGATCCGCAGATACTTGCCAAAAAGTACCATCAGAAAGTGTTACGGAAAATAGTCTCTCGAGCAAAGATATCGTTTTACTCCGACAGACAAGCTAGCTCGAAATAATGTGCCGGCTATATTTAGAAGATAAACGAGAAAGAGAATTCGTACCATCGGATAAAGGGGCGCAATGCAAAGGAATACTGACGAGTTTGAACTACAAATAAAAAATGATCGATTGCATATTGCTTATTCACTCAACGAATTGATTATACAGAGCGATAAAATTTTTAGAACAAAATACAATTTAAGCCTTCTCAAATTTTATTTTTCAAATGCGATTGTATGCAGAAGAGAGATAATACATCGCTACAAAAAATTAAATATAGAATTAAAGAGCCTGGATTTCGAATATCCAATAAGCTTGTAAGCTTCAAATGTTACAATTCATCTCTCATAAGTATAAGTAAATGTAGATGCTAATATTATTTTAATGTAATTATTATCAATTATTTTATTTACACAAACAATTATTATTAATTATTTTATTATTAATTTATTTATTCGCATTATTAAAATATTAAAAAATTACACTTTTTTGATATAAAAAGTTATGAAAAAAATTTTGCTTGCACAAAAACTATATAAAGTTTTTAAAAAAGATTAAATCAACATTATTTTGTAAAATTCTAAAGCATTTAAAAATCTACGTTCTTGTGATTATAGTTGCAATATTTAGTTATTTTAAGATATGTTTATTACATGCTTAATTTTTGC